CCCCCCCGGGGAGGGAGGAGGGCTGTCCCCCAAAGACACTGATGAGTGTGTGGTCACTACTGGAAGCAGTGAAGGATGATGGCTCTTCCAGGTCTGGGGTATTTTAACACTGCAGTGAACGGGCCAGGCCAAGATCAAGAATGTCTGGAGACACTTTCTGGCAAAATTGCTTAGAACTTCTGATTGGAGCAGAAGTGAGATCAAAATTCAAGGAAGAAAAAATTAGGGAACATCTCCCAAATAGCATTCGTATTTTTAATTTAAAAAGTTTTACCACTACAGGTATTTCTTTTATGAGTCTCTTTTCTTTTTAACATTCATTTATTTTGAGAGAGAGAGAGAGCGTGCACGCGTGCACGTGCACACGAGTGCATCGGCAGAGGGAGGTGAAGAGGGAGGGAGAAGAATCCTAAATAGGCTCCACACTGCTAGCATGGAGACTGATGCAGGGCTCAAACCCACAAACCACAAGATCAAGACCTGAGCTGAAATCAAGAGTTGGATGCTTAACCAGCTGAGTCGCCCAGGTGCCCCCACAAGTGTATCTTTAAAAAAAAGATTTAAACGTTAACAACGGGGTGCCTGAGTGGCTCAGCCGGTTAAGCGTCTGACTCTTGATTTCAGGTCACGTCACGATCTCAGGGTTGTGAGACTGAGCTCCACATCGGGCTCTGAGCTGGGCACGGAGCCTGCTTAAGATTCTCTCTCTCCACCTCTCTCTGTCTCCTGGGGCATGCATGCGTACACTCACTCTCTCTCAAAAATAAGTACATACATACATATATACATACATACATACATACATACATACATACATACATAAATAAATAAATAAAAGTTAACAGATATTAATCTTGAATTTTTTGCTCTAAAATAATTGGTGATGGGGTGATTATTTGTGTTAAATGTCCTAACTCTACTGTGAGTTTGTGGAATTTCAAGCCAGGAGGACATCTGGAGAGGGACAAATGTTAGTATCATTAACATTTCAATACACATATTCTTTGACCTCCAAATCCCACATACCTACAGTGTTTACAAAGGAGACAGATTTATAGACACTGATTTGTATGTGTACATACGAAGGCCACAATACGTTAAGCACTGTTCTTGAGTGCTGTGAACGGGCCAGACCCAGTCAACCGGCTGACCTCTGATTCCCACATTTCACACAGTACAATGATGGAGAAGGTTACAATCACATCCCCAAAGCACAGAAAGATCTCCATGTGCCTTTTGATGCCAAAAACCACTAAATTATGCTCACTACTTAAAATCACATAAATACGTAAAAATTACATCAACTCCATCCGAAATCAGGGTTGAGGGGCACCTGAGTGGCTCAGTTAAGTATCAGACTTCGGCTCAGGTCATGATCTCACAGTTTGTGAGTTCGAGCCCTGCATCAGTCTCTGTACTGACGGTTCAGAGCCTGGAGCCTGCTTCGGATTCTGTGTCTCCCTCTCTCTCTCTCTCTGATCCTCCCCTGCTCATGCTCTGTCTCTCTTTCTCTCTCTCAAAAATAAATAAACGTTAAAAAAAAAAAAAAAAAAAGAAATCGGGGTTGCATTTAGCATTAGGTGGAACTTGAGGCTTTACCATCCAGGCAAAATCGTTGATTTCTAAACAGAATCTGAGGTGAACGTACAAAACCAAGAGCTTGAAATTTGCAGCAGAAAATAATTGTCCTTTTTTTTGCAAATCACCAGAAACACAAAGAGGAAATCTCTCCTCTGGGCAAGTTTCCTCATGCCAGGACGAGTCTTCCTCAGCTGCTACCAACTCCCATTAATTACACAGATGTGAATTAATTACATGTGGGCACAGCATTACAGATACATGAGGGTGCAGATACAGCAGAATGGCAGTGCTGGAATCCCAGTGATGGGTATGTGGGTGTTTCCTGTAGAACCCTTTCAACTTTTCTGTATGTCTGAGGTTCTTCACACAAAATGTTGGGGGGAGGGGGAATCTGTACGGTCCTTGGATGAGATTCAGTATATAAGCAAAACATCAGGGAATGTGGCAAAAAAGGAGCCAAGAAGGTCTCTTCGTTATTCAAATTAATCAGTGCGGCCAAATGAAATCTACTGCCCCAAGTAAACTCTTTTTAGGCGATGATCACTGTAACAACGCACTGGGGGAGAAAAAGTTCCAAATAATTTTTTGTACAACACCAGAGGTTCTAAAAAGTTCTAGTGTCCAGACCAGCAGCATCACAAGCCCATGAATCTAGGAAGGAAATATGGGCAAATGTGACTCCGCTGAAAAACACACATGGCAAAAACTACCACAAGCAAAATTAAAAGACAAATGTCAAAGGAGAGTAAAGCACATTTAAAGCCTACAGCTTCGGGGCAGACGTGTACAGGACTATTCACTATAGCACCACCTCCAAAAGCACAAGGTCAGAAACACCGAAATGTCCTTCAGAAGGAGACTGGTTTGATAAATCATGATACCTCCAAACAATGGAACACTATGCAACTTCAAATAAAAATACAGAAGCAAACGGGGCGTCTGGGTGGCTCAGTCAGTTAAGTGGCCGACTTTGGCTCAGGTCACGATCTCGCGGTTTGAGTTCAAGCCCTGCATCAGGCTCTATGCTGACAGCTCAGAACCTGGATCCTGCTTTGGATTTTGTGTCTCCCTCTCTCTGTGCCCCACCCTGCTCACACTTTGTCTCTCTCTCTCAAAAAAATAAACATTAAAAAAAAATTAAAAATACAGAAGCATTTTCATGTATGGTATAAATTAACCTTGAGATATATCACTAAGAGAATAAAGCAAGATACCAAACTTACATAGGATATGACACCATTTGTATAAAAGTGAGGAGAGTATTTTACATATACTATAAGCTGCAGTTATGTAAAGCATCTCTGAAAAAAGAATAGAATTAGTAATCGTGATTGCTTCTGGGAGGGATTTGGCAGCTTGAGAACAGGGAGGCTTATTTTTCACTCTGTACTGTTTCTTACTCAAAGAAATGTATCACTGTGCAAGGATAATGTTTTCAAACTCTTTCAAATCATTTTATTAAATGTAAAGTAATACTCCTTTTTTTTTAAAGTTTGTTTTGAGAGAGAGAGAGAAAAAGAGAGAGAGAGAGAACGCACACGGGAGGGACAGAGAGAGAGAATCCCAAGCAGCGCCCACACCATCAGCATGGAGCTCGATGCAGGGTTTGAACCCACAAACTGTGAGATCATGACCTGAGGTGAAACCAAGAGTCGGGCCTTACCCACTGAGCCACCCAGGCGCCCCAGATAAGGTAACATTCTTATGAGAGAAAATGTTCTTTGAAATAAAGATGGTAAATAAAACAAATACATAAAATTACATTTGCAAGAAAACTCAGAACTGGAGAAGGCGTGCACATTCACTATAAACACATGCTGAAAATACTCAGTGGAGAAAACCATTGCTGGAACAACGGGCTGCCCGTTCGGAAAAAGTTAAACAAGCCCCTACCTCACACCACACACTCCATAAAACACACAATTCAAACTAGCTTAAAAACCTGAATATAAAAAGCAAAACTTCAAGACTTTCCAAGGAAAATATACGATTTTCTATATCTTCAGGGTGGAAAAGGATTTATTAACACTCAAGAGCACAAGCTAATGGGGCGCCTGGGTGGCTCAGTCAGTTGAGCGTCCGATTTCGGCTCAGGTCACGATCTCATCACTCTGTGAGTTGGAGCCCCATGTCGGGCTCTGTGCTGACAGCTCAGAGCCTGGAGCCTGCTTTGGATTCTGTGTCTCCCTCTCTCTCGACCCCTCCCCCACTCACATTCTATCTCTCCTTCTCTCTCAAAAATAATAAACAAACATTAAAAAAAAAAGCACAAGCTAAAAGAAAAGTGATATATTTAACTACTTTAACTTGGAAGACTCACATCTCTCACTTTCAAAGCTTACTACAAAGCCACAGTAATCAAGACAGTATGGTACTGACATAAGGACAGACGTATTGATTAAGGCAAAGAACTGAGACACCAGAAATAAACACTTACACTTATGGACAACCGATTTTCAACAAGGGTACCAAGACAATTCAATGAGGAAAATACCATCACCTTCCAGCAAACGGTGCGGGAACACATGCACAGCCACACGCAAATGAATGACGTTGGATCCCTACTTCACATCAGAAAAAAAATGAACTCAAAATAGGTCAAAGCCCTAAATATAAGACTAAAACCATAAAATTCTTTGAAGAAAACCCGTTACCCCGGGTTAGGCAATGACTTCTTAGATGGGACATCAAAGGCATAAGCAACAAGAAGGAAAAAACAGATAAACTGAACTTCAAAATTAAAAATTGTCAGGAAGGCGCCTGGGTGGCTCACTCAACTCTTGATCGCGGCTCAGGTCTTGATCTCAGGGTTGTGAGTTCAAGCCCCATAATGGGCTCCATGCTGGGCGTGAAGCTTACTTAGAAACATTTTTTGTGGTGGGAAAAAAAAAATAGTGTGTGTGTTTTGAAGGACCCCACTTTTACCAAGTGAAAAAAAACCTCACAGAATGGGAGAAAATGTTTGCAAATCTGGTATCTGATAAAAAAGGACTTGCATCCAGAACATACTAAGAATTCTTACAACTCTTCTAATGAAAAGATACAATATCCCAATTTTTAAAACGTGTCAGGGAGCGAATAGACATTTCTTTAAAGGAAGACATACCGATGGCCAATCAGCACATGAAAAGGTGATCAGCATCACTGGTTGCTATGGAAATGTACATCAAAACCACAATGAGATAACGTTTCACACTCACCAGGATGGCAAGCCAAAAAGACAGACGATGGTAGGTTGGTGAGGATATAAAACTGGAACCCTCATCTACCTCTGGCTGGAGCAGAAAATGGTGCAGTCACTGTGGATCCCCCAAACGTTAAACACAGAGTTTTATCATATGACCCGGCAATTCTACTTCTAGGTATGTCTAACAGAAATGAAAACACATGCACTACAAAACCTTGTATTAACGTTTGCAGCATCGTGATGGCCGACAAGTGAAAAATCATGATCCGTCCACTCTAGATGAACGGTAAACACAGTGTGGGAGATCATTACAAAGGAACACTATTTGGCAATCAAAAGGAAGGGAGCTGACACCTGTTACAACGTGGATGAGCCTGGAGAACATGAGGCTAAGAAAGAGGCCAGACACAAAGGACCACACGTATATGACTTCATTAATAAGAAATCTCCAGAACAGGCAAATCCATACAGACGGCACAAGACTAGGGACTGCCAGTAGCTTGGGGGAGAGAGAGTGACTGCTAATGGGCAGAGGGTTTCTTTACGGGATGATAAAAATGTTCCAACATTAGACAGTGGTGATGGTTGCACAACTCTGTGAACATACTGAAAACTGATGAACTGCACACTTTATTTTTGAGAGAGAGAGAAAGGGAGTGCATGAGCAGGGAAGAGGGATCGAGAGAGAGAGAGAGAGAGAGAGAGAGAGAGAGAGAGAGAATCCCAAGCAGGCTCCTCACTGTCAGCACAGAGCCCGACTTGTGGCTCAGTCTCACCAACCATGAGATCATGACCTGAGCTGAAACCAAGAGTCGGACACTCTACCGACGGAGCCACCCCGACGCCCCTGAACTGCACCTTTAAAAGGGTAAATTTTATGGTATGTGAATTTTGTCTCAATAAAGCTGTGGTAAAAAAATTAAGCACAGGGGCACCTGAGTGTCTCAACTGGTTAAGCGTCTGACTCTTGACATCGGCTCAGGTCACGATCTCACGGTTCATGGAATCGAGCCCCACATCGGGCTCTGCACTGACAGCTCGGAGTCTGCTTGGGATTCTCCCTCTCCCTCTCTCTCTGCCCCTCCCCTGTACATGCAGGAATGTGCGTGCCTCTCTTTCAAAGTAAACTTAAAAATAATAATAATAATAATAAAGTCTGAAATTAAATGTCAAACTTACTTTGAATGCACCCTCTGATTCCATGGATAAGAGATCCCCATCAAATGGAATGAGGTCTAGGCTGTACTCTTCCCTATGAATAAAGGATCCCAAAACACCCAGGTCTTTCAACCTCTGTTCACACAGTAAACTTCGTCGTGGAACAAACAAGATGTGGAAATCCCTTGCTGGGCCACGTTTGTCTTCACTGCAAGAGAAGTAACACTTGTTAGCTTGCATGCACCTTCCAGTCGCAGACTATTTCATCTATTTTATTCCTGGAGCCTGGCCTGTTGCTTGGCACACAGCAGGCGCTAAATAAATGGGCATCGGATAAACGCACTCAAACTGCTGCATAGTTGGCTCTCTCTCTCTCTCTCTCTTTTTTTCCCTGAGAGGAAAGAGGCGTTGATTCACAGCCAGTGTTTTGTGAAGCATTTTCTAGCTTTCTCTTAAACCATTTATGGGGCATTAAGCTCTCAGGTTTATTGAAACAGGATGTCCGTGTCTTACTGAAAACAGATGGTTCTTTAACCAAACCAACGCGGTGACACAGTCTTACGGAAAAATGAAGATCACTCTTGACTTCCACCTCTAGTCTCCTTGACAGTGGGCCTCCCAAAATAGCCCATATGCTTTTAAGATTTTAAGGGCCTTTTCAATCAACTGTACCACAGAGTGCAAACTGGGCTAAGAACTTCCTCTATAGATTGGATGCTACGTTAAATTTTAATCGGCTCATACTTATTTTGCTTATGAAATTCGAGCACACTATATACAGTGTATTGAAAGATGACCATTAGAGATTTTGTAGTTTTAATCAGGGTCCTTCCCACCGATAATAGGTCCAAATTTTTAGTTGTCCTGAAAACGGGGTTATATGATGACCCCCTTCTCCAACTGTCTGAACAAGTTCATGGGAGCTTCCCATTCCCCTCTTACGTTCTTTCACGCCTGCCCAGTTTTCTAAAAGACCACCTTCCGACTCACTGCCAAGACAAGGAGGTTGCAAAGAAGAGTTCGGTATGTTAAAACCCTGAGAAGGATCAACCTCTCTTGGTCCAAACAGAAGCTCTGGGAGATACCTGAGCACATTTTCAGCAATTATATCCATCAACTCTAGCCTGGGTCTGACAAAAAAAATAATATTCTTGACATCAGCTGCTGGCAAACGACTTCCTTTAAGTGTGAACATTTTCTCCACTTCATGTTCCTAAGAAAACACATACACAAAAGGTTAACAAAAACCCTGTACTTAACCTATCATATCCAGATTCAGTCATCATAAACACTCCCAGCCAAAAGTGCATAATGCTTCATCAGCAAAATTGAGATTCCCCAAAGCCAGATGTATAAAGGACAAAGTTTCAGGATTAAGTCACTGCTATTGCATCTGAATTCAAATGACTCACATGATGACCTGTCAATGACACCAGGTGATGGTCACATAGCACAATGCTAGTAATTCCTCTAGAATTAGGATCAGTATAAAATCACTGGCCAGTGGCCACTGTATAAAAAATGTTAGACATGCATCAGCACCAGTGTCTATAAACACCAAAGAACTCTGCAAGTCAATTACTCAGGAAAAATGTAAAATCCTATTACTACTAAAGTACAGAATTATTAATCCCCAAACAAAACCCAAATAGCTCATTTACCTTCAGTAGTGAATACTGTGCAATCAGGCCAAATGGTCCTGTGAGGTACTCATCCCAAACTATTGCCTGTAGGAGGGGAGAAACTTTCTCTTGTTAGGGCTAATATCAGGAATTTCAACAATATCAACAGAAAACAGCAGTCAGAAGACGTAGTAGAAATATTTGCTTCCAACTGAATTAGCAAAAATTTTAACTGGCTCTAATCATATTCGTATCTTACAGGTCTAAAGAAAAACAGGATCTGGACAAGGATGTTACTGTTGTCACGGGAAAGTTAAGACATAACCACCATCCTCAAACAGGAAGAAGGAACTGTAGTTTGTTGTGTATTTGTGTCATGGTATTAACGAGTAGATTGAACCACATGGAAACTGCCAATGGCAATAGTTCAGTCTAGCATTTTACACGGAAATGTCACATAATCCAATTATATAAAATTAAAACCTTGGATGTAGGTATTACGAATCTTATTTTGAGAGAAGAGGAAAGTTTTAAAGGGTTTGGGAAGTTTAAGTAACATGTCCAGGGCCACGTAAGGACTTTGGACCTTACATATAGTATAAGGGGACTAGAACCCCAGTCTAGAACTCAGCTGACAACTCATGGGTCATTGTTCTGGGCTCCCATGAACATTATTACTGCTAATCTCCAGTGTCATTTCTTCTTCTTCCCTTATGTATTTATTTTGAGGGACAGAGACAGAGCATAAGTGGGGGAGGGGCAGACAGAGAGGGAGACAGAATCCAAAGCACGCTCCAAGCTGTCAGCACAGACCCCTATTAGCAGGGCTCGAACCCACAAACCATGAGATCATGACCTGAGCTGAAGTGGGAGGCTTAACCGACTGAGCCCCCCAGGCACCCCTCTTCTTCCCTTTTTTAACTGAAATTTTTACTGAGATAAGTGTAGATTAACTTTTATTTGTAAGAAATATTACAGAGAGAGCCCTTGCGTGCTCTGCCCAGTTTCCCCCAACGGTAACAGTTGGCAAAACCACAGCACAATATTACACCCACAATATTGCCATTGATCCAATCCGTGATTGTATTCAGATTTCAGTATCATTTCTTGAGCCTGAACTGGGCACCTAGGGCTTAGCCTGCCTTTTTCTCTCAATGGCTGCTAGCACCCACTCCATCTCTTGAAGTTCTGTTCTTCCTAAAACCGATTCCTGAGATTCCCCAGTTTTCCTTTCCTTTCCGGAGTTGTATTGCCAGTTACTTAGGGTGACAAATAAACCCTAAGGAGAGAGGAGAAAGATGACACCACTTAGACGAAATCCTATTAAGTCCTTGATCTACAATTTCTCAGTCGTGAGCTGGGTGGTAGTAAACGTCTAACAGGAGAAACAAACCCTAGAAAAGTCACGTTAAAACCGCAAATAACTACAACCTCTTTCATAATACGTGTGAGCAGCAGGTTCTAAGATGCTAGTGCTACACAGGCTTTTAAAGGTACGACATGCATGATCGCTCTAAGGCATGTTCACTGGCCCATAGACATCCTTGGGCCGGGCCCGCCCCATTCGTCCGGTTCCCAGGGGGCACCAGAACTGCCCCTCTGGATCTGAGGGCCACCTGACATAAATAAGGTTCACGATGGCCTGGGATACCACAGTGGCTTACTCTGCTGCAACAAAGCAATCGCGATGCCACGCCGACTCCTGCCGTGTGCCCCAGCCCCACCGGCAGACCCCTCTCCCCCGCGCATTGGTCCTGCCCGCTCCCCTCCTCGGAAGCCCCAGGGACCTCGTGCACCAGCTCAGGCAATCGGGCACCGGATTGGGCCAGGAGGTACGGGGGGCTGGAAAGCAGTGTCGCCGCCTCCCATCGCTCACCTTGCTTCCCGCGCACTTGTCCAGAAACTCTCGCAGCTCGCGACGCACCGCCTCGCGCAGCACGTTCAGGTTCACTCGTCCGTAGGACAGGTGCGCCGCCATCTTGCTTCCCCCTAGGCGTAGCCCACGAACGCAGTCACGTGACGGCGCGTTCACGTGACCAGGACGGCTGACCGCCCCCTCCCCCCACCTCCCCTGCCAACCCGGAAGCTGAGGTGGGCCTGAGCCTACCGTCTTTGCTGAATCAGGCGCCCGCTGCTTTCCCTCTGCTGCATCGGTTCCGGAGTTCCCCAAGACCCCCGGCCCCATCGAGACCCTGCCTCAGTCCAGGAGTCGTTGGACGCTGAGAATTGAGTTGAGAGACGGGGACTGGGTCCTACTTCTTCCGCTTAAAAATCGCGACTTGCTTCGTAGCAGCAAGCGTACCCGCTATCATGGAAATCTTTTAAATTATAGCAGTCAGAAAGCCCTCCGCTTTGCCCTTTTAGTTTGTAGGCTAAATTTTACCCAAGAAAAGACAACGGCTGCGCCAAACTTGTCTGTTTAGCTCTTGCCAGTAGATTCACTGCATTGTATTTCACACAGATAATATCCCATGTGGAATCCAGTTCCCACTCCGTTAGTAAAATTCGTATGTTACCTTTTGAGTTGTGAGAATCAAGAGGGTGGAATTTACGTCGTGTTTCATTTTAAAAACTTAGGGTGCCTGGAATTTAATTGCTTAATAACTATTGTTTTAGAATGATTCATTCGTTTTAATACTTCGAGGGTGGAAATTGTCTGGGATGTGAAGGAGGCTTGAAAACATTTGCTCTTCGAGTGGATGGCTCTATTCAATCCTTTACATACACTTTGTTATGAAGAAAGGACTCACCCGTGAGTCTGAGTAAACAAAGAGCAGAATTTGGGGATGATGCTGAAAAGCAACCAATCAATCATACATACACACTGGCACTCTCAATTCCATGATTTCATCAAAACCCTTTAAATTTTAAAATAACGTGTTTCTACTCAATGCTGTTTCATGCCCTAATTCTCAACCCGGTTTTCACAGTGATTCTCAATCTATATCACAAATTCTTACAACAGGTACAGACTTTTTTGCCCAACTGAAAAGGTGTATTATTTTAGCACCGTGAAAATAAATGTTCTCAGCAGGCCTTGTCACAAACTCTTATATTAGGGCAAAACTTACGGTGAAGAGGTGAGATGCCCAAGGCTAGTGAAATCCCAAGCATGCATGCATGTAAATGAGCAAGAGCAGGATGATAAACTATCCTTCTCCCAAAGGATCACAATGCTAGGTAATGATCAACATGGGTGTTTAACTTGTATAGGGATCCGATGTTTGGAAACGTTGCTATACTGCGGTAGTTGCCCTATAAATATTGCAGACCTTAGTGTTTTCTTCTGTAGTTTTTATTGATATCATTGACATATAACATCGTATTAGTTTCACGTGTATACAACAGGATTTGACTGTAAGTATATACTGCGAAACGATTACCACAATAAGTTAAAACAGTTTGAGTCTTTTAATTCCCTATGGTTAGTAGTGAAGTCAAGGACTAGTGTCAAGGTATCATTCAAGGAGGTAAAAGTATTGTTCTTGTTCAACTAATAACTCTGCTTTGGAAATATCGACCTGTTGGGGAGTCTGTGCTCATAAAACAAATGTTTGGTTCAGTAATCATTTTGCTAAATATCACAGCAATTTTCAGGGTTTCTTTCCAAAACATCACAGATTATTAGGTAGTTGGTGCTACGTGGTGCCGTTTATATTTTTGTCAGGTAATACAGTGTGATATAGCAATGGATAACAACCTTATTTTTTTTCAACGTTTATTTATTTTTGGGACAGAGAGAGACAGAGCATGAACAGGGAAGGGGCAGAGAGAGAGGGAGACACAGAATCGGAAACAGGCTCCAGGCTCTGAGCCATCAGCCCAGAGCCTGACACGGGGCTCGAACTCACGGACCGCGAGATCGTGACCTGGCTGAAGTCGGACGCTTAACCGACTGCACCGCCCAGGTGCCCCCGTTAGGCATTTATTTTAAGTGGGTCATAGGATGCTTTGAGATGAGGATATAACAATTTCTTAAAAGCTGTTTATCAACAAGACTGCAGTAGAAATTACTATTTGGATCTATAGTGCTCACTCATTTAAAGAAAAAAAAAACATTATGACAAATAAACCTGGGAAGAATATGTTTACTACCACTGGCAAAAAAGAATAACCATTTATTAAAGTAGATACAGAACACTCGTTTGCTCAAATTTTAATACTGCTTTACATTTTGTTTGTGAAACACTTCCTATTATAATGTTTATAACCAAAAATTTTAACTAATTACAGATTTTTCACTTGTCAGACACACATTTGATAATCTTGAGGGAAAAAATACATCAAAGGCATATATACAATTATAGAAGTTCTTACTATACATGTAGCACGGAAGATACATTACTTTTTACATATTGTAGAAGACATTCAAGTGAGATAAATAGATTCAAACTGGTTGATAAACTTCTGATGGTTGAGGTCCTTCATTTTATTTTTTTGTGATAAGAAAATCCAAAATTATCAATGTTGAATTTCTCATCGTACATTCATCTAAAAACAGTTTTAAAAAAAACTTGTAAAGGTTGTAGATTGGTTAATTTAGGTGTTTTAATAGTGGCTTATTATCTAATTAACTGACTGCTGGGGATATCTGCTGAAGAAAGAAAAAGATTTAGAGAAAATTCTCCCAGGTATTTATATCTGATAAAGAAACAAAATGAAAATGGAAAAAAAAACTAGTTGCAAAGCCACGTGATATCACTTCGGGCCTAGTCCATTATGTCCTGATGTGTTTTCTTTTTCATAAAGGTAAAAATCTGAAAAGAAAGACATTGTATTTTGTCCCAAAATATAGATTTTTAAAAAATATATACATATAATATATAGAAGCTGAAATTATGCAAAAACCAATAAACAAAACACCACAGTAGAGTAAGTAGGTGCAGCATATAGATTATAAAATGTCCCCACAGCAGTTTGGGGGCTTCCCCCTCCTGTTACCTGTTTCATGATTTTATAATCACATCTAAGTATTATCAAGCCTGAAATAAAGGCACTACTGACATCAGGTAGTGCAAAGAGCTCAGATACTTCTTTAAGAATAAAATACTTTAAATGAGTAGATGAAAATGCAAAATGGCACATTTTTCCAACTCATTCCAGTGTCAAAGCTTAACCAAAACATCTAAATATACAAATGCAGCCTGGAAAAATTTTAGTGCAAATATGAAAAGTAACAGCATAATTTAAAGTTACTTAAATAAGGTATTGTAAGGGTAGGAATTGTTCTATGAGGCTTCCCTAGGGACAGTGAATGTAATGGCATCTGGTGCAACGTCTTGTTAGAACTTTTAAAAATCAAGAAGACAAAATTAGAGGTGAAATCTCACCTACGAAGTATTTATTAACTTCTGGGGGGGGGGGTACTAAAAGGGTGATGTACTGAAGATCAAAATACTCTCTTCGATTTGTTGACGGGGGTCAAAAATAACGTGAGTTCCGCTGAAGGCCGCCGCGCAATGCTGGTGTCCAGCTGCCTCCGCGCGGGTGCGGGTGGAGCCGGTGCCGGGAGGAGCCGGTGCGGGGGAGGCGCCGGGCGCGGGGGAGGGGCCGGGGCTTCATCAGAAAGTCTCGTCGTCGTTGCAGTTGGTGGCCCAGTGCCCAAACACCTCGCAGATTTCACAGTACGGGCGTTCCTCGCTCCGACTGCCGTGGTGTGTGGAATGGGGGGGGTCCTCTGACACCTGCGCCTGTGTGGGACAATCCTCTGTGTCGTGGAGGTCAAAGCAGTCACATATGTCACAGAAGAGGCGAGGTTTCTTCTTGGACTGTTTCTCCTGGTCATCGCTACAAATGTTAACGTGCATAATCAGAAACTCCTCTCTTTAAGAAGAAACTCAGGAGACAGTATCACTCACAACAAAAAATAAGAACGAATTATGGCCACGTCTGGGAGCCTGGAATGTTAAGTTCTACAGTCCACATTTAGAATTTTCACATCGAACCATTCGCAGTGTATCATTCTCTTGCCAGATTTGTGTAACTCCATTTGTGGACAAGTAACCACAAGGCAATGATTTCTCCAATCCCCTGGAACCTACTTTTAAAAACCTTTATTTAGATGGAGCTAAGGTTCTGGTTAGTATTGCTTAATATAAAATACCTGTCATAATTGTTTAGGTCATCGCCGTTCCCATTCAGGGCTGCCTCTGACATCATCTCCACCTTCATCTTGAGGTCTTGATTCTTCCTCTGAAGGTCCACTATTACTGAATTTAGGAAATCAATCTGATTTGTCCCGGGGGGGGGGGGGGGGGGGGAGAGAAACAGATGTGTCAAATGTCTAAAGTGTGTATGCTGGAGGATGGATGTGGTATGAAAGTATACTCTCACGCTATGGCTACAGGGTGTGCTGGACTCACAGGAGGGGGAGATAGTGGCCATTCCTGAACCCACGTTTAAATGCTTTATATATACACATGGACATCAGCAAGACCCTACAAAAAGCGGAACCAATTAGTTGTCCCATTGAACTGTAGAACAGATGCAGAACTTTGATGTTCTGTAGATTGGAAAAAGTTCACGGAAATTCTCCTCAGACCACCGTTTAACATTTACTCATTGGTCATGGTGGCACAGTAAACAAACGTCATCTTCAGAGCAAAACGAAGGTGTTTTCAAGAGAGGGCTCTGGCTCCCTTCAGCTGAGGAGACACTCTGGCACACAGTGACAGGGCAGAGCCCCGGTAGCACACGTGTGGCCAGCACCTGTACCAAGATTCACTGAGCAGTGGGGTAACAAGGTGACCATCAGGAGGAGACACTCTTGTCCTAACATCTCCTTTCAAATCAAGGGCGCTCTAAAAACAAAATGTTTTTTCCCCTCTTCTACTTATAATAAAAAGGTCCAATCACTCTAAATACCTAAGTCCTAGTTTACAATATTAAAAATTATGTATTTCATGTTTTAAAGACATATTTGGCTTTGGGGCGCCTGGGTGGCTCAGTCGGTTAAGCGTCTGACTTCAGCTCAGGTCATGATCTCACGGTTTGTGAGTTCAAGCCCCGCGTCAGGCTCTGTGCCGACAGCTTGGAGCCTGGAGCCTGTTCCGGATTCTGTCTCCCTTTCTCTCTGCCCCGCCCCTGCTCACACTCTGTCTTTGTCTCTCTCAAAAATAAAAAAACATTAAAAAAAAAAAAGAAAGAAATATTTGGCCTTATTCCCCTGCTGGGGCAAGTTACGAAACAAAGCTAGCAATCACTGGCTTTGTGATTCTCTGCAGAATACCCCTTCCAATACTGACGGGAGGCTTACATTTTCTAAGACTTTACCCTGTTAGGAGCTACAATTCAGGAAGAAGAAAAAGCCACAAAATGGATGTAGGTATAGTGGGGAACCACACACACACACACACACACACACACGCTCACAAATTAGGAAACATAAAACAAACCATTTGCTGATTGGAAGAAAAGTGTTGGCAGCGGCAGATGAAACAAATGGAAGCAGAAAGGAGAGGGGAAAAGAAAACAGTTAATGGAGTCTATGCTTCTTGGACACACAGACTAAGCAGACAACACTATCCAGGGGGAGTCAGTGCATCTGTTGAATCCTTTCATATCTTTCAAAAGAGATAGATAGCAGATAACTAAAGCAAATCACAAACTCACTGAACTTTGCTTTTATTTAAAGATGATGGGGGCACCTGGGTGGTTCAGTCGGTTAAGTGTCCGACTTCGGCTCAGGTCATAACCTCATGGTTCTTGAGTTCGAGCCCCGTGTCGGGCTCTTTACTAACAGCTCAGAGCCTGGAGCTTGCTTCAGATTCTGTGTGTGTGTGTCTCTTTCTCTCTGCCCCTTCCCTACTCACGCTCTCTCTCTCAAAAAAAAAAAAAAAGAATGGTAAAATAAATATGAACATGCTGGCTTTTGTACTTTTGAATTTTGAACAGGATAAATATATCCAACATATAGTGCTAAAATTGAAGGTGGAAGTTAGTTGCTATGTGCAATTATATTTCCAAATACAAAACAGTTTGCCTCCTTATAATCCCTTTTTAAGGCTAAGTCTGTTTTGGTAATTCTGGCTTTAGGGAAACAGCTTTCAAGATCTCTTTTTGGGGCACCTGGGTGGCTCAGTTGGTTAGGCACCTGACTTTGGCTCAGGTCATGATCTTGCAATTCTTGAGTTTGAGCCCCACATCGGGCTCTGTGCTGACAGCTCAGAGCCGGAAGCTTGCTTCTGATTCTGTCTCCCTCTCTCTGCCCCCTGCTCACGCTCTGTGTTCCTCTCTCTCAAAAATTAACAAACATTAAAAAAATTAACAAAAAAGAACTCTGTCTTTTTAAGGTCAAGAGGAGCAAGGAATCTTTTGACCGAGTAATTCTACTTTTACGAATCTATCCTAGAAAAATACTAGTATATCTGCAAAATGACAGATATTCAAGATAATTCATTATAGCATTGTTCATAATACACCTAAAAAGATTTAAAAAAATCCCAAATGTCCTGTCAGCTGACAAGGAACTGATTATAGTACATCCACATAATGCATACTATACAGCAATAAAAAAAGACCAGATTATGTAATATGCCACCATTTGTGTTAAAAAAAAAAAAAAAAAAAAGGATAGGACATGTTCTTAAATCTCTGAAAAGATTTGTTGAAGATACTAATAAGAGTGATTCCCTGTTTGGAGGTCTGGGAACTGAGAAGAGAGATGGTGTTTGGAGTGAGACTTTCTACCGTATATACTTTTACTATTATTTATTGTTTACACCATATGAATGTATTATGTATGCAAAAGGCTACGTGGTTTTTAACAACAGTGCGTAGGGACCCCTGGGTGGCTCAGTTAAGCATCTGACTTTGGCTCAGGTCATGACCTCATGGTTTCATGAATTCAAGCCCCGCATCAGAATCCATGCTGACAGTGTGGAGCCTGCTTTGGCTCCTCTGTCTTCCTCTCTCTCTCTCTGAGCTTCCACCACTCGTGCTCTCTCTCAAAAATAAACAAACTTAAAAAAAATTAAAAAACAAAACCAAACAAAACAGTGAGTAAGGGGCACCTGGATGATGGTGGTTAGTGATTCGGCTCGGTCATGGTCTCGCGGACGAGTTTGAGCCGCCCCCCCCACCGTGTTGGGCTCTGGACAGTGGTCGCGGAAACCTGTGGATTCTCTCTCTCCCCCTCTCTCTCTGCTCCTCCCCAACTTGTGCTTTCTCTCTCAAAATGAACTTTAAAAAATAAAAACTAAAAAAAATGTCAAGCAAGCCACGCAAAGGAAAGGAATATTACCTGACTCTCCTGGGCTCTTTCATCCTCTTCTGCCTGAGTATCAGTATTACCTTATATCAAAGAAAGGGGGGGGAGGGGGGATTTTACAAAAATTGCAATCTTGTTTTCCTGAGTTACTATAACAAACGGGCCAGTGATAGACACGTATCTTCAAGTGAAATTCCTAAATGTGCCTCTCTGAGAACAGTTCATGGGTTCCTGTCCCACATCCGGAGCCCTAAGGGATCTAGCCAGATGCTGGCCCTACCCCCGCGGTGTTCTCCGCCGTGCTGGCCCACGGCTGGTGAGGGCGCCCATCACACCCACCCGGAAGTTAAAGTAGCAAGCAAGTAGCACGTGCTCACGAAGGGGCCACCTCTGTTCCCCTTTACCGCAGCGCATTTCAGAGCCCACGGCTGCGACCGCGAGGGCAGCCGTCACTCACGTCCTCTATTGCTGCCGACATTTCAGAGGTGGGGATGGCAGGCACGTCCCTGAGCGGAGGACCTGTGTCATGACCCTGATCTGCGTCAATGGGAGGAGAGCCAAAGGCAGACGGGCCGAGGCAGGGGGCGGCGCAACAGCTGCCATCCCAGGGCACCTCACCAGGAATGGCTCGGCTGCAGGAGGCGGCCGGCACTTTACCTGAGGAGCTGCCGAGCTGCCTCCTGTTTTCTTTGAGTTGAAGCTCCAGGTTCTTTACCTGGAGTTCAAGCTTCGCCTTGTCGGACTCCAGAGACTGGACGACTGAGTGCAAGGACTTGGCGGAGGCGCTCTCTCCCCTGAGCACCGTGACCTGAAACACAGCAGGTGAGCTGAGGCTCGCGCGGGAACAGAAAGAGGCGGCAGGAACAGAAGGAGGCCGCAGGCGGTACTCTACCTCATTTCTCAGTTTTTCCAGCTCTGCATCCTTTTCGGTGAGTAAGGCACTAGTAATGCTGATGGATTTCTGCAAGGAAGCTTTTTCTTCATCGGTTTCTTTTATTAACTTGGATTCTCTAAAAGACCAAAGAGTTAAAAATTCCACAAATCAACCGAGAGAGCGGTCAGCGTCCAACTGCCCTATGACAAACACGCAATTAACTTGAGTTAACGTAAAGAAAAAAGTATCATGGGGAAGTTTAAAAGGGGGTTAAGGCTATTATGCTTGCAAAATTTTACTTGAAATTTTACTCACTGTGAGGGAGAACAAGTTTACCTATGCATAGACATGCCAGAATCTGCATATCATTGTATCCATTTGAATTTAAAGAAACATGTTAATAACTTTGGAAGAGGTAGAATTAAAAAAAAAAAAACAAAAAAACAGAACAAGACTGTTGTACCCCCAAAGAATTCTTTTAAAAATCTAACCCCCACCCCAGCTGAATTCTGTTACTTTTTGAATAAATTATTACCAAGCAATAACAACAATTAAAATACACACATGCAAAGCGATTATACACGGATGTCATGCAGAGCAGTTTTATGCTGGAGGTATCAATTGGTTCTCACTAATTTGTTACTTTTAGCAACTTCCAAGAATGTATTTTTGAGATCTCATGGGCCAAAACAGTAGCAAAGATTATTACTGCTATTCATACTGAAGGATTATTACTTTTCATCCACAGAATCTGAAAAGGACATTAAGTTGCTCATAGAAATGACAGGTAATTACATAAAGGCTGGAACAGAAATATTAAAATGGATTTCCGGGTGTAGAATGAAAGCACAGGGGGAGTCTGGAGGGAGACGGGCAGAGCACTTGGTTCAAGTTCTCAGCCTGACTCCGAGTTTGTCTGTCAGCAGAGGGAGGGGGACCAGGTCTTAAGGAGACAGAAACATTTATCCTGGAGTCAACGGGTGGGAAAAAGAAGGGGAAGATGAAGGAAAGACAGGGAAGGAGGGCAAGACACAATAGATATAACCCAGAAGGGCAGGCTACTCTGTGTTTACGTGTATCTAAATTTTTGTTGCAAAAATTATATGCATTCAGAAAGTGCCACGAAAGACCAGCAAAGACTGAGGAACTGTCACAGACTGCAGGAAGCTGAGGAGGCATGACCACTGAATGCAGTGTGGTTTCCTAGACTGAATCCCAGAAGAGGAACAAGACATTCGTGGAAAAACTGGGGAAATCTGAACAGAGTCTGGAGTCTAGCTAAGCATACTGAACTAACATTACTTTCTCAGTCTGGACCAATGTCCAGGGAGTGTGCAATGTGTGTGTGTCAGGGGATGTGGGGTGATGGGTATGTGAGAACTCTCTGTACTGCCTCTGCAACTCTTCTGTAAATCTAAAATTTTTAAATAAAAACAGTTTTAAAAAATTACATGCAGTGTGAAACAAGAGGGGAAAAAAAAGTCCTTGTTTCACAAAATTTTTAGAAAAAACATGACTGGAAGAAATTCCCAGCTAGTCCTCAGACCCTCCAACCTACAACACTGCATTAATGTAGATGATCACCTGTGAGTCCAAAACTTCAAGAACAAGAAGTCAAATCCCTCCCGGTTCTAGAAGGAGGGACGGGGTAAACACGAGCATGTCACATGGTTCAGTCTGTTTGAGAACTGACTGGAAAAGTCGGAAACTGAGGCCCAGGTTAGAAATGGCAGAACGTATGTCTGGTTAGTGAGACCCAAGATATCCGGCACACGAATTACAGAATTCTCATGATTTATGGTAAATTGAAATTCTACACAAAGATGAAAATATAAGTGTTGCATTTATCTCATTGTGTGGCTTACACTTATAGTCCAGAATAAGTAGTAAGAAAAGAATCTGAGACTTACAGAAATTTCTTGAATTCAACACCCAAGCATGATATGAACACTGGAGAGGGGGTGGGTATTGGTGCTGTTAAATTACTAAGTGAGGAATACCTCGCTAGGAAATAGGGTCTTGCTTAGGTTAAAACAAAGCAAAGATTTCAATGGGAGGAATATATAGGTATTCTTCCACCTGGAAAGTAAATATCTGATGTTATCCACAGTTATCCACAAAATCCTGGGCTCCTGAAGTTTTAATTAAACTTATTTGGTAGTTTCTTCCATTGTAGAAACTATTTCAAGAGCTTCACGTGGTGAGAAATCCAACTCCAATTTGAAAAATGTAGTTTTACTGTTTTTACTGAAAAACACCAGGATATGGGGGTTGGTGAACAGATTTAAGTTCTTCTATAATCAGAACTCTAGGCAACCAGAATCTCACAGAGTCTTTGTGGCAGGGAGGGACAAAGACACCAGCAGATGATAGAAGGTAAAAGGTACGGGAATCTTTGCTTCTCACGTACACACGATCCCTAAGTGAGGCCACCTTCGAAGAAGATGGCAGGCTGAACGTGTCTTGGACAAGTTGTCAAGAGACACATGGTTAGGAGAGGGATCTGCCTTGTGATTTATACATCAAATGACAGGACAAATAGCCTTTGGCAGCTTGTCTTCATGGCCGGTCTTCACTGCTGGCTTCTCGGGCTATTTCCAAGCCCTAATCCCACTGTGCAAACCAAGAGGGACGAAATTAAACCATATATGCCAACGTTACTGACATGTGAGTCACAAACCACACTGACAGGAGCGCCTGTGCTACACTCTGAAGCCATGCTGGCTAGAAGGACTTGGTGCTGCTGAAGGTATCGAGAAGGGAAGATCAACACGGTGTGAAAGAACGGCTCTAAGGGCCAGATACCTTTCCCTTCCAGGGAACATATTACCCAGATTCTTTCCTTACTACTTATTTAAGAAATAAATTCTAGTAATGAAGCAAATACCTTAAAGTGTAACTGGGCAAGCTTAAAAAATGCAAGATAGCAAGGACCAAACATTAGAAACATGAAAAGAAATGCAGGTAATGTAAGGAGAACTAAATTTTCACTGAAGCTCTTTGCTGTATATAGATCTAAAACCGGTGTGTGTGTGTGTGTGTGTGTGTGTGTGTGTGTGTGTGTGTGTGTGCTGCTAGGAATATCTTACAAAACAAAAGCAAGACACAGAGGGACAAAGGCAGCCAAAAAATATATACAACAAGTTGTTCTACTAAAAATATATGAAATTTATTTATTATAACGTGGATAGACTTTCTTTAGTCTTACCATTAAAGACACACAGACAGAGCAAAGGAAGCAGGAGTAGGGAAGGGAAAAGAGAGGGGGAAATGAGCATTGATAAGTAGCGCAAGCTCGAGACAGTCAGACAGTCAGCAACCCACACTGAGCTTAACGAGCTGGAGTAGCACGGGACCGCTTCAGACCCGGTCTCTCAGACGGGGTCGCCAACCAGTTTCCATTCCTGACATTTATCCCGCATTTACTCTAACAGAATTAATTCTGACTCCAAGAAGTCCACATCTAACATTTGAGCTCCAGAGTCCCTGCTTTGACATCAAAAAGCCTAGAGAAGGGAGGGAGCCCAAACATGTTCCCAAATCTGCTGTCGGCTTTAGTGGACAGGGGAGCACACTTGTCCACTTCGGTCAGTTAGAGCAATTCGAGGTTGGCTCTGCTGGGTCAGGTATCTTGGAGCCTGGTTTGAAAGAGGTCCACCCGACTTGGAAACCAGCTTCCAAAATAACGATTGTATTTTTAAGTGAAGAGAAAAGCCTGAACTACAGATTGCTTGCAATTTAATGTTCAGGTACCAAAAAACCATAGCAAATACAGGAAGACCCTACTACTGAACGAGAAGCAGTCTGTGCCTCAGGGTCAGAAGTTAAATTCTGCACTTCAATACAATGACCATTTCAATGCCACACTTACAGACTATCTTGACTATGTATGTTCAATGATCACTTCTGAATTAATCCCTTGACTAAGATCTCAGTTCTTGCGTCAACAACTACATTGCAAATATCTTCATGATTTAAGTACTTTCCAGACTTAAATTAAGAGCGTTATCAAATTCTTTTCAGTACTCCATGCTAAATTTACTTAACTATTACACACACAGATCTACATAGGAATCCATTATCACACTGGCTTTTAGAGGACACTTAAGGTATCAAGAAGGGAAGATAAACACGGTGTGAAAGAACGGCTCTAAGGGCCTTTCCCTTCCAGGGAACATATTACCCAGATTCTTTCCTTACTACTTACCTAAGAAATAAATTCTAGCAATGAAGCAAAGACCTTACAGTGTTACTGGGCAAGCTTTAAAAATGCAACATAACAAGAACCCTACTACTTAATGAGAAGTAGAGGACACTTAAGGGCCCAAATTATTAGCTAAAATAGATCTGCATTCAGATTTCAGAAATAGACACAATTTTCCATGAGGATTAATTTGACCAAAAAACAGCGCTAAATAGGGTAAGTTAGGTTTTCAAAATTTTCACTTTCAGAAACAATTACCATGTTTATCAGCATTTATTGATATAAAGAGTGATTTTCAGGAGACATTCTCCTAAACTTATCCAGGAATTAAAATGGGAGCAAAGATGGTGAATTAAGAAGTGGCCTTAACAAGCCCCCAAACTTGTTCTACCTTTTTAAGCCAAGAAAAAAGTCACAGGCCTGCTCACATTTTGAAAGGCATGTAATTTAAAGTCACATGGAAAAGACTAACGAAGCATAGCAGCTTTATTCTTTAAAGGAAAAAAAAAAAGATTTAAAATTAACAATAAATAAATGTACAGTGAGAAAAGAGCCAGCATAAACATCTGACACCCTCTGTCTTACGCTTGCATCTGGGTTCTTGGCTAAGTTGCCTAACATTCTGGGCTCTACTTTCACCCTTTATAAATGCAGGCCCCACCATATATTTTGCGGGGTTGTCCTGAGATTAAGTTTGTGAATTGTGAACACAAAGGGATAATGTCAGTACTTGCTTCCTTACACCAGCCCATTTTTCCCATGCTCTCCTGGCAGAATGTGACAGGAACGAGCCCTATCAATTTTTTTTCACATATATCCTTGATAACTGCATAAGGAGGTTCTCTTTAAAGAAATGGAGCCTTATTTATGTAAAATGGAAATATCCTGAGGCCCACCCTCGCAGAGCTGGCTGCCTACACAAGGACGGGGTGGGGGCAGTGATGCATTCTGTGTGCATTCCGGTAGGAAACTTTAAGTAAGAATGAATCTAAGTATTTCTTAATTAAACAAGAAAGGAGGAAAGGCACTCCTGGACTTGAAGCCTAATGTCCTTTGGAATGCTTCTTGTGGATCCCAATATCTCTGTGGGCTAAAGAAAGCCCTCAATTCCTAAGCCACCGCCATGCTGGCAGGAGCAGACTGCCAGAGTAAAACACGTGTGTCAGTGGTCAGGGAAAGAAACTTCCTCTTCCCGACCAGAAAGAATAATAAAATACTTTGCAGGAGCGTGGATGAATTCTTGATTAAGCTCTTCTTAAAGAATTATGTTTAGTTCTGTTTTCAATAAGAGAAAAGTACGTCACTGTCGTGACGCACATCTACTCAGCAAACCACCATCAGGGCTGTGGTTCTCGGCAACAGTACCCACCCATCTGCCCGGCACGCAGCGTAAAGCACAGAATTTCTCTAGACACAAACTGCACATTTTACAAGAGCAGACAGAGACTGTCAAGATACGTAAGCATCAGGCTTCTAAACAGTTATTTCTGTGGCCCCATTTATCCTTACTCCAAAGTGCTGGAAGGTTTCCATTTAAATATCATTTGATTATCATCAAAGAGTAACAGAGAAGAAAGCTCTTTCTTAGAAAACAGAAACATTCAAATTGATGCTAACACATTATTATTGAAAAGTTCAAATTTTTATATAATGCAATCAGTATTTATATGCAGATCAATTACTCTACATAAGATTACAGCATTTTCAGTTACTGAAAAGAAGAGGTAACAGCTGTATAATGAGACAATCTGATTTTAGAACATTTCTAAATAAATTCAACAGACCATGGCTTAAAAATTAACCTGTCCTTTGTCTTTGTAATTAAGACTGTAACTTTTGCAAATAAATTTTCATCATTTACCGGTTATAAGCACCAAACCATCACAATCCAATCTTCTGAACAATAAGGAGGTGACGTGTTTTCTACAGTCCCCATACATGTCATGTTCTGACATTTTCCTCATTAAACACACACACACAACAATAAACACAAAAAGAAAGCCTACCTCTTTTTCATTTCTAACAACTGATTATTGAGCACAGATCTCTCTTCTTCTAGCTGGAAAAAAACACACACAAAAAAGTTCAGTTCGTCACAAAAGTCCACAGAGAGGCCTATTTCTCATTCCACATGTCACATTCCCAGGCTCCAGGGCAGCTAAAGCAATTGGCCTTCCTCACTGGCAACGAAAAAAGAACAAATGGTTACTACATCATGTACAGTCGTTAATTTACAAGTCATTTAGGACCTGAATGACTCCCCTTCTTTGGTACATGCCCTATCTTCAACATTCAATAAATGTTTCGCTCATTTGTTAAATGAACGAGTGAAAGCTTCGCTGTTAACGTGCTGGCTCCTTCACTGAAATCACACAGATCAAGTGTCACTAACTCCTGGATGGCTGGGAACAGGCTGTTTATGCCGTATGGGCCTCATTTCACGTCTACCACATTCCAGGCATTAGTTTTTCACCCATAAAGTAAGGAAGTTAGAAGAGATGTTTTAAGGGGTGTTCACTTCTATAATTCTATTATTCTATGACAGATAAATGCAAAAGGTTCAGTTAGTTAATCCTGTGAGAGATGACTCACCCCTCCCCCCCAATCTGTACCATGCAGAGTTTATTATGTGACTTATCAATTTCAGCTCACACTTGTGAAAGCTGTGTTCCACACAGGTGAACACATTCCTGCGTGCTTTCTTTTCCAAATCAAAGGATAACACCAAAGACTATGGAACGGTTTCCAACAGCCCAGAATTTAAGCTATTAGCTCACTGCATGTAGTTTATGGTCTTATTTCTGATTATGTATTAATTATATCTATGCTTTGCTATGAGATCTTCAGAATTTTAAAGTTCTTAAATAGACATAAACGTGTGTGTTGAACCTAAAATTAAATACACTTATCACAAAATCTATTGAGGTTAACATACAGTTTTTCCACTGCAAACTCTGTTTTCCTAGTCTACTAAAGATGTATGCTTTTGTTCCACAAGTAATTCACAAAAAATATTTAGAAATTTTTAAAGAGTGCAAGGAAGGAGAATAAGGGTAGGAGACAAGCTTTAAAAACTAAAATAAGAGGGAGAACATCTGGAGAGTGGGAAGCGGAGATGAAAGGGCCTTTTTTCCTTTATGCCCATTTATACAGTTTATTTTTTATTTTATTAAAAAAATTTTTTTACGTTTATTCATTTTTGAAAGACAGAGAGAGAGCACAAGCAGGGGTGGGGCGAAGAGAGAGGGGGACACAGAATCTGAAGCAGGCTCCAGGCTCTGAGCTGTCAGCACAGAGCCTGACGTGGGGCTCGAACTCACGAACCAAGAAATCATGACCTCACCGAAGTTGGATGCTCAACTGACTGAGCCACCCAGGTGCCCCTATACAATTTATTTTTTAAACAAGCTGTTTTATAATTTAAAAATTAAAACAGAAGAAAAAAAAAATCAATGAGACTTCAGACTGAGAAATACCTACAGTGAGGATAAATGGATAAAAACAGGTAATTCACAAGAGAGAAAATACAAATGATTAATAAACATCTGAAAAATCATTCAACACTTTCAAGAACAAGTTATGGAGAGAGTCCCCCTCTTTCTTGGAGGGAGTAATTGTGCCTGAATTTCCACAGAAGTTTGGAATGCTTATGGTAGTGATTTTTTTAAAGGAAATGTTTTTTTCTTCTTCTGGTCCAGTATCCAATCTAGGATAATAAGTTCATTTAGTAGGTCAGATTTAACCTAGCTCATTCCTCATTCTTCCCTTTTGTGGCTTTGACATTTTTGAATTAAAAAAAAATTTTTTTTAAATATTTTTGAGAGAGACAGAGTGCAAACAGGGGAGGGGTAGAGAGAGAGAGAGGGAGACACAGAATCCGAAGCAGGCTCCAGGCTCTGAGCTGTCAGCACAGAGCCTGACATAGGGCTTGAACCCACAGACCGTGAGATCATGACCTGAGCCAAAGTCACACGCTTAACGGACTGAGCCACCCAGGGGCTCCTTTTGAATTTTTTTTAACGTTTATTTTTGAAAGAGAGAGAGTGTGTAAGCTGGAAAGGGGCAGAGAGAGGGATAGACACTGAATGTGAAGTAGGCTCCAGGCTCCAGAGACTGATGTAGTGCTCAAACTCACAAACCATGAGATCATGACCTGAGCAGAAGTTGGGTGCTTAACCGGCTGAGCCACCCAGGTGCCCCGGCCTTGACATTTTTGAATCGCACAAGCCAAAACCTACTTCACATGATTTCAATCCTTTTAAATTCACTGAGACTTATTTTATGGTCTCTCCTGGAGAATGTTCCATGTGTGCCTGAGAAGAATGTATATTCTGTTCCTCTCGGGTGGAGTAGTCTATAGATGACTATTAGGTTTAGCTGACTCATAGTGTTGTTCAAGCTTTTATTTCCTTGTTGATCTTCTCTCAACAAGTTGCTATTGTTCCATCTATTACCAAAATAAGGTATTGGAGTCTCTAACTTTTATTGCTGAATTGTCTTTCCTCCTTTAATTCTATCAAGTTTTGCTTTGCATATTTTGGGGCTTTATTATTAGGTGCATATATATTTATAATTGTTACATTTTGATTTTTTTTTATTATAAAAAAAGTTTTGTCTCAAAAGCCTATTTTGTCTGATATTAGTATAGCCACTCCAACTTGTTTTTGGTTACTGTTGGCATGTAATATCTTGCTCCGTCCTTTTATTTTGAACCCATTTCTGTCTTTGAATCTATGCTGTGTCTCTTATAAACATTAGTTTATATAATCTTAAATAGTTAGATCATGTTTTTACAAAATTCATCCTGACAATCTCTGCCAACCCTCTTTTAATCAGTGTTTAATCCATTTACATTTAATGTTATTACGGGTAAATTACATACTTTTTTACAATTAATAAATTTTATATTTTAGAGAGTTTTAGGTTCACAGCAAAATTGAACAGAAAGTATCAACATTTCCCATACATTCCCTGCCCCCACACACGCACAACCTCCCACATTATCAACATCCCACACCACAGTGGTACATTTGTTATAGGCACTGAACATACATTGACACATCATTAATACCCAAAGTTCATTGTTTTCATTAGGTTCACTCTTGGTGCTGTACATTCTCTGAGTTCTGATGAATATATGAAGACATGTATCCACCCTTGTAGTATGACCAAAGTAGTGCCACTGCCCCAACAATCTTTAGTATTCTCCCTATTCATAACTCCCTCCCCCCTCCCTTATTCCCTAACAACCACTATCTTTTTTTTTTTTTTAATTTTTTTTTTTTCCAACGTTTATTTATTTTTGGGACAGAGAGAGACAGAGCATGAACGGGGGAGGGGCAGAGAGAGAGGGAGACACAGAATCGGAAACAGGCTCCAGGCTCTGAGCCATCAGCCCAGAGCCCGACATGGGGCTCGAACTCCCGGACCGCGAGATCGTGACCTGGCTGAAGTCGGACGCTTAACCGACCGCACCACCCAGGCGCCCCCACAACCACTATCTTTTTAATGTCTCCATAGTTTTGCTTTTGATAGAATGTCATATCTTTGGAACCATACAATATGTATGTAGCCTTTTCCAATCGGCTTCTTTCACTTAGTAATATGCATTTAACATTCCTCCATGTGGTTCCATGGCTTAACAGGCCATTTCTTTTGGGTGCTGAGTAATATTCCATCATCTGGATGACCATAGTTTTTATTTATCCACTCACCTACTGAGGGACATCTTGGTTGCTTCCAAGTTTTGATAACTGTGAATAAATCTGTAATAAACACTTATGCACAGGATATTGTGTGGATTATATCTTTAGTTCATTTGGGTAAATACCAAAGAGCACCATTTCTGGATCTTATGGTAACAGTATGTCTAGTTTCGTAAGAAACTGCTGAACTGTCTTCCCAAAGCAGCTTTACCATTTTGCACTGCTACCAGCAACGAATCAGAGCTCCTGTTACTCTACAGTTTCACCAGCATTTGGTGTTGCCAAATGTTTTCGATTTGGGCCATCCTGATAGTTGTATCATATCATCTCATTGTTAATTCACAATTCCTTAATGGCGTATGATGTTGAGCAACTTATCAAATGCTATTTGCCATCTATGTATCTTCTTTGGTGGTGTGTCTATTCGGGACTTTTGTCCATTTTGTAATTGAGTTATTCATTTTCTTATTGTTGAGTTTTAAGAGTTCTTTGTATATTTTGAGTAACGGTCCTTCATCAGGAGTGTCTTTTGTAAATATTTTTCCCAAATCTGTGACTTACCTTCTCATTCTCTTTTCACATTGTCTTTAACAAAGCAAAGTTTTTAATTTCATTAAAGTCCAGCTTATCAATCCTTTTATGTGGATCATGCTTTTGGTGGTCTTGTACCTAAAAAGTCACCAGTGTACCCAAGGTCATTTAGGTTTTCCCTGATTTTATTTTCTAGGAGTTTTATAGCTGTGCATTTTACATTTAGGTCTATGATCCATTTCAACTTAATTTTCACAAAAGAGGTAGTACCTGTGTCTAGATTCACCTTTTTGCATGTGGACATCCACTTGTTCCAGCACTATCTGTTGAACAATCTTTGTTCCATTGTATTGCCTTTCCTCCTTTGTCAAAGATCAGTTGCCTATATTTATGTGAGTCTGTTTCTGAGCTCTGTATTCCATTGACCTATTTGTCTATACTAAGTCTTGAAATCAGGTAGTGTCAATCCTTCAACTTTGTTGTTCTTCAATACTGAGTTGGTTATTTGGGGTCTTTAACCTCTTCATATAAACTACAGAATCAGTTTGTCAATATCCACAAAAGAACTTGTTGGGATTTTGACTGGAATTGTGTTAAATCTATAGATCATGTTGGGAAGAGTCAATATCTTGACAGTATTGAGTATCTATCCATGAACAAAGGATATCTCCATTTATTTCATTCTTTTTTGATTTTGCTCATCACAGTTTTGTAGTTTTTCCTCAGATGCTGTCCATACATTATTAAACTTACCTAAGTATTTCATTTTGGGGAGTGCTTATGTAAATGGTATTAAGTTTTCAATTTCAAACTCCACTTGCTC